ACGGCAAAAAAAACCCCACGAATACTGAAAGAACGAATAATACCTATTGACAGAATTGTATTTTCTTGGAGTAGTAAAACATTAATTAAAGCGTAAGACCAGGAGCATTAGGCAATTAGACCTTCATGAGAAATGGAGTATTTCCTGCCATATCAGTAAACAAGGAAGTAACAGTCATCAGGGATCGCAGCCCTCCAACGTAAGCCCTGAGGGCACTCCGGAAGGAGCATACTGCGTGCAACCTGGCAGCCATTAGGCTGCAGCCACTCCCAAGGATGCTCAGGATGTAAAAAAAAAGAAAACCACGAGATACTGGCCCCACATCGCTGAGATGCATATGAAAGGAATGATTTCACTGACTCAAAACTAAGATCATGGCATCCAGTCCCATCACTTCATGGCAAACAGAGGAGAAAAAGTGGAAACAGTAGCGGATTTTATTGTCTTGGACTCCGAATTACTTCCGAAGGTGACTGCAACCAGGAAATGAAAAGACACTTGCTCCTTGGATGAAAAGCTATGACAAACCTAAGACAGCATATTAAAAGGTAGAGACATCACTTTGCCAACAAAGGTCCATATAGTCAAAGCTATGGTTTTTCTAGTAGTCCTGTACAGATGTGAGAGATGTAGCATAAAGAAGGTTAAGCCCTGAAGAACTGATGCTTTTGAATTGTGGTGCTGGATACTAGTGGTAAAAAACCGCCTGTCAATGCAGGAGACATAAGAGATGCGGGTTGGATCCCTGGGTTGGGAAGATCCCCTGAAGGAGGGCATGACAACTCACTCCGATATTCTTGCCCTGAGAATCCCCATGGACAGAGGAGCCTGGTGGGCTACAGTCCAAAGGGTCTCAGAGAGTCAGACATGACTAAAGCGACCTAGCACTCATGCATACTGGAAAAGAACCGAGAGTCCCTTGGACAGCAAGGAAATCAAACTAATCAATCCTAAAGGAAATCAACACTGAATATTCATTGGAAGGACTGACTCTAAAGCTGAAGCTCCAATTCTTTGGCCACCTGATATGAAGACTCAACTCACTGGAAAGGACCCTGATGCTGAGAAAGACTGAGGGCAAGAGAAGGAGTGTCAGAGGATGAGATGGTTGGATGGCATCATCAACTCAATGGACATGAATGTGAGCAAACTCTGGGACATAGTGAAAGACAGGTTAGCCTGGCGTGCTGCAGTCCACCTGTTCTCAGAGTTGGACACAACTTTGCAACTGAACAATAACAACCGACTATCTTGTATCTTGACTATCTATGTATCTTCAGAAAAGCGCTAGATTCCTTCACTTGGGATATCTGGTTTTCTTTAGTTAACAATAATAATTTGATAGACTACTGCCCTTTGCTATAAAAGTTCCGTATAACCTGGTTCCTCCCCTTGCCTCTTCCGAGCAATTCTCCCAGGGTCACTTGACATGCTGTCTCCTGAGCTTGAAGTCTTTAATTGCCCATCAAGTGAAATATAACACTCAAGTTTTAGATTGTGTATATGCTTTAAGTCCGGAGAAGGAAATGGCAACCCACTCCAGTATTCTTGCCTAGAGAATCCCGTGGACAGAGGAGCCCGGTCTGCCGCCTACGGGTCGCACAGTCAGACACGACTGAAGCGACTCAGCAGCAGCAGCAGCAGCATTCTTTAAGTCGACATTCAACAGAGCCTTTACCCCGCTCTGTTCAAGAGCTTCTTCATGAAGCTGGCCAGAGCAAAAATCCTGGAGGTTTCCGAGTGGCTCCAAGGCAGCAGTTTTAAAGCAGTTTGGCGCCCTTAATGGAAACCATACGAAGGGATCCTGGGAATCAGACCAGAAGGCTTTCGGGGATGGTACTTAGCCTAACCTGGGATAAAGAACAAAAATAACCACTAGGAGGTTTGGGAAGGGTTGGGGGAGGGACGAGGTAGAGGTGGTGGTGCGACTTTTAATTACCTTTTCCATTTAACAGAAACCATGTGCAGAAGGTCTGTTCGCTGAACGGGAGTAAACCCGGCAGCAGGCAGAGAGCAGGGTGGGGGTGCGGAGGAAGAGGGGTAGGGGACAGCTACTTCCGTAACCACACGCGATTCGGCCTGCCCCTCGGTGGGACAGCAGTCCCCCAGCCCCTCGGCTCCCAGCGCAGCGGCGCTGCCCTCCCCCGCACAGGGTCTCCGCGGGGTGACCTCCCTCCAGGGCGCTGCGCACACGCACAGGCCGGGGCGGCGGGGTAGTGGGCAGTGCGGGGCGGGGTGAGGGACTGGCACGTCGAGCCGGGGTGGGGCCAGAGGGGGCGTTGGGAATGCAGTGGGGGAGGGTCGTAGAACTGGAGGAGGAGGAGCCGCAGAAGGCGGAGGCCCGCGGTGCAGAGGCGGAGGGGGATCGCGGAGGCAGGAGGCGGATCTGGAGAGGAGGAGAGGCGAGAGAGCGGCGGAATTCGGAGACCCGAGGAACTCCGACAGGAAGACCGCCGTGGGGCGGGGCTGGGGCTGGGATGTGGGCGGGGCTGGGATGTGGGCGGGGCTTGTGGGACGCGAGGCCGCTCTGGAGGGACCCGGGGCAAGAAAGGCCGCGAATCGCACCGCCCCCACTTCCGCCCCCGCCGCACCGCCAGCCGCCCCCTCCCGCCAACTTGCTTCCTCGCGGCGCCTCGCGGGGAAGCGAAGCTGGTTATGCGAGGCTGCGGCTCGGGCGACGATTGCTCTGAATACAAAAGAGCCTTTCTCACGCCCTTGCGCCCTTCCCCGCCTGGGGCGCCCAGATGGACAGCACTGGCTCCTTGGACACTAGAGCCGACAGCTGTCGGGGCCACAACACCATTTCTGTGGTTCTTGCAGAGAAATCTCTGTCAGGAAGGCCAGATCGATAAGCAGGAGAGGAAAGGGGGGCAAGAACTCTTAGAATCAATAACCGAACCACTGATTTCCTGGAATCAATAACCGCACCCGTTCACGGCTACTGCCCTTTAATCATCCTTTAGCGGTAAGATTCTTTACCCTTTCTTCCCTACCATCCTTTTAGTCCAGATAGTCCTGGGTGTGGATTTCTTTACTTTCCAGTGTTACATCATGAACTTCTTGAAGATAGAACCCAGAAATATAAATATTTAGAAGATGGTTACCAAAGACATTAGACACCAAGCAAATACTTTTTAAAATGAGAATATCGTTAATGATGGTTAAAATTTTCATTCAGTCCTTACTTGTTGCTGAAAACTTCATTCAGTCCCTACTTGCTACTGGTGTAGAATATAATATAAAAATTGATTTTGCTTTATCATATAAATTAAAAATGGTGATTTCTTTTATTCAGAATTTTAGGCCCAAGGTTTCCCAAACAAGGAGCCCGTGTGAAGTGTGTGGGGTGTGTCTGTGTGTGTTGTGCTTTCAGCTTCTTGTACCATAAAAACAAGAGCAGGATGTAATGTCATTAATTTGTCCGGAATTGTTGACTTAAAAGAGGCAACTGTGAGTATAGAACATTCACTTTAGGGGAGGGAGGGCGGGGAAGCCCCTCGGAGAGACAGACAACTGTTCCCCAGAACAGCTGCGGACACTGGCCTTGGAATGGCTTGGCACGGGTACAGCTCTGTGCAGCGAGAGGGACTTATTTATTTAACAATAGTTAATGATTCGCCCAGGCAACTCCCAGGAGGCCAGCTAGCAGTAAATACACTTTCAGGAAATCAGCTACCCTTCCTAGAAGCCTGCACCAACCCTACAGTGAAGGGAGGTCCCTGGCTATCTGCATAATACAACATTCAGTGGACTGCCCAGCTTCAAATGCCCTGGAGTAATTCCTTCCACAGCTTACCACAGCCCTGCCCTCCTGAGCTAGGAAAGTTACCAAGTCCTAAGCCAAAAAAAAAAAAAAAAATGAAGACAAATACGCCATTTCTGGAATACCACCATTCTAGTTACCTGGGAACTGAAGTGGGCTGTTCAACCCTGTCCCCTTAGCTAAATGTATCAGATAAGCTAGTTGGTGCCCATAGACTAGCATTTTCTTAAGTGATATCTATCTATACTGTCTGTACTGGTAGTTCTTGTGATAATGTTAGGTGGTACTTGAATAACATTTTTTATTTTAATGGTCAGAGTATTTTTTTTTTCTAATGCACATAACTAGCATACCAAACCCATGGTGCTGTAAATATAATTACTTAGGGTGAGGCCACACTTTTTAAAGTCAATTTAAAGAGAAATCTTAATAAGCAAAGGTAATAAGATAGCAAAAGTCATTGTAACTTTTTTTTTAATCTTTTTTTTTTTTTTTTTAAGGCCGCACTGTGAGGCGTGTTGGATCTTAGTTCCCCAACCAGGTATGGAACCTATGCCTTGTACATTGGGAACACTGGATCACCAGGGAAATCCCTGTAACCTTTATATTAAATGAAGTAAAGTCAGTAGGGTGCTTGTAGAAACCAGTTTTTATTCTTTCTCTAGAAGTGTCTGCCAGAACTCTTAAGATAGAGGAAGGATCCCATTGTCACCTCCTGCTTAAAATTACTGGTTTGGAGAAAGTCTGAGCAGGCAAGACAATGCCTGGGCTCTAGAGGGCCATGTCAGGGGGACAGGGCCAGTAGGTAGCGGGTGGCAGAATGGACACATGAGGAGGGTGAATCCAGGATACTGGGCACCCAGGGTGGGTCCCCGAAAGGGAATGACCGTCTGAGAACTTATTGCCTTTTTCTCATGAGGTGGAATCCCGCAGATCCCTGCCATCACTGATGAGCATTTAGACGGTACAAGAGAAGTTCCAGTCCCTCTAAGCCTCTTTGAGGCTTGTTTCCAAAATAACTGGAGAGACCTACACAAGAAATGTTCATGATACTTTTGGGAAGATTGCTTATCAAAACAGTCTATTTCCAGAGTTGTTTCTATGTGTCACGTGATTGTAAATGTTGGATTACCTTCACACCGACTCTAAACACACCTCCACCCTCGAGGATACACTGTGCGAAATTGTTGACACTCCCAAGGAGCCACTGTTGGGTGACAAGCAAAAAGATTCTTACATGTTTCAGGAGCTCTCTCCTTAGAAGACTGTACTTCATCAGGTTCTTCGGTGCTGGCTTTTTAAGTCTGACATCTAGTGTAAACAGACAGACTGCTAGTGGGTTAAGTACTCATGGTAAAGTCTATTACAGTATGAATAGATGAACTGTACTGACATTCCTAAACCATGTTTTAATCAATAGTTCCATACATACTACCTACTTCACACACACACTACCCACCTGCCCCCATCCCCAGCTTCTGCCACCATCACAACCTTCTCACAGGCACAGTCTTTTTCAGAGCTGCCGCCGTCAAGTGCCTCTGTGGGAATTCCCTTTTTATGTCTGCATCCTACCATCCTTCCATTTACATTAGGAGAGGTATGTGTGTATGTGTTAGTCTCTCAGTTGTGTCCGACTCTTCGCAACCCCGTGGACTGTAGCCTGCCAGGCTCCTCTGTCCATGGGGTTCTCCAGGCAACAACACTGACTGGAGTGGGTTGCCATTCCCTTCTCCAAGGAGAGGTATGTACAGTGAAGTGATCAAGTGTGTGATGGGAGGAAGGAGGCAGAAATGCAAAAGGCCTTAAATGGCTTCAGACTGGAAGGTATGAAAATATCTGATAAAGGTCATAACTAAAAGCAAAATGTGGATGTAAAGTGGTAATTTTGGATCAGACTTACATGGTCTTTCATAACCTGGAGGTGGAGGTGCTGGAGGAGAATCCCCAGACAGAATTTGGTGTGCCTGTGAAGAAGAGATGAAAATAAATATCAACCAATTTCACAACAACAGAAATTTAATAACATTCTTTTTCCACTGTTGCGCTCCCCATTCAAAAGGTACTTTGATACTGCTGTCAAAAGCCACCATAGGAAAATACTAATACTAAAATGAAAAGACAAAATTGGAGAAAATACTTATAAAATTGGACAGCTATCCTTATATGCAAATATAGCTATCCTTATATGCAAATATAACAACTATCCTTATATGCAAATAGCTTATGCAAAGTAGTTAAGAAAAAGCTAAACACCCCAATAGAAAGGTGGTCAAAGGAAGTGAATAAGATCGATCCTCATTGTTCATGGATTCCATTCAAAATCAATACTCATAGTGCTTCTGAGATCATTCAAGGACGTGCCCGAAGCGGCAAAGTTTGAGTCACTTGCCATGCATGTTCTTGGTGGAGGCCCAACAAGAACACACTCTGCCTTCTTGTTTCGGTTCTGGTCCTGTAAACAAGTGCCATTTTTGCAGCCTATCTAGTGCCACACCTTCTGTATTTTCCTGTCTTTTGTTAATGATCTCACTGTTCTAAACAGCCCCCGGGTGCAGTGCTGATGAGCTGCTTAATGTTCCTAAGTGTGAGAAGGCTGAAGTGCCTTCCAGAGAAAATGCGGTTGTTTAGGCACAAGTTATAGTGCTGGAGGATCAATGTTAATGAACCAACAATATATGTTAAATAAGGTGCCGTTAAGCAGAAACACATGGAAAAAAAACTTACGTACTGATCAATTGGTGAAAATCGTATGACCAGAGGCTCACAGGAAACAGACCCTATATTTCTCTTAGGAGCAATAGTTCTGTGTTCCCTGAGTCATGTTAGTAGAGACTTTAAAAAAGATAACTACCTTGAATAATGAGAACTAACTATAATTCATGAAAAGAGTATGAATAACTAGTAAACAGAAGATGCTAAACCTCAGTGTTAAAGAAATGAAAATCAAAAGAAAATTGAACTATTTTTATCAAACTAGAAATAATAAAATTATTTTTAAATCCAGCATTAGAGAAAATATAGGAAAACAGGCACTCTTGTGGGCTGCTTTTTCATAAAACCAATGTTCTGAAAGGCAATTTGGCCATATATCAGAATTTAAAATAAGTATCCCTTCTGACCCAAGAATTCTGCCTATGGGAAAGTACTCTGAGATGATGATGAAACAGTTATAAAAAACTTACATTCACATTTACTGATTCCCGTGTAATTTGTAAGTTACAAATTTGAAAAGCCTAAATGCCCAGCATTATGGCATATTTTTAAGATGATACATCCAGTCAATAGAATATTATGTATCTATTAAAATAATGATTATGTTAACCCTGAAAGAGGTCCATGAAAGCCTTAAATGATGAAAGCGGATTACAGAGGACAGTGGACCCCATCTGTGTATTCTATGTGTATGACTGTGTGCATCTTTAAAAAACTTTTCACTTGTTTTGGCTGTGCTGGCCTGCGTTGCTGCGTGGGCTTTTCTCTAGCTGCGGTGAGCAGGGGCTCCTCTCCAGTCGGGGCGCCAAGGCTTCTCGCTGCCCTGACCTCTCTCGTTGAGGAGCACCAGCTCTAGGCCTGGGAGCTTCAGTGGTTGCAGCTCCCGGGTTCTGGAGCGCAGGCTCAGTAGGTGTGGCACAGGGCCTCCGTTGCTCTGCGGCATGTGGGGTCTTCCCGAATCAAGGATCGAACCCTGGTCTCCTGCCCTGACTGCTGTTTTCTTTATCGCTGAGCCACCAGGCAGGCCCCCGTGAGTGTCTTTATGTACACCTAAGTACAGAGGGCTATTTCTAAGGAAGGTCACTAAAACATTAATGGTGGTTTATCCCTGGGAGGAGGGGAAGGGTTCAGGTAACTTTTACTGTGCCTCTGTTTTTCTGGATTGTTTGAAAGTTTTCAATCAGAGGAGAGCTGCTTTTGTTTTTAACTGTCCATGTAGTATGTATAGTTATTGTCACACACGGGAAAGAGGAAAAATTCATGACTGTGAAAGAAGCAGAGAATCATCATCTCACAACTAATGCTGGTAATCTTATATCTCCATCACCTAGAAGAAAGCTAAATGTATAATAAGCAGTCAAAAATTAATGTTCTGTGAATGAATATATTAACAACTTCATTCCGCTCCAGTTTGTTTGTTTCCTAGTTAATAACAACAAAGCAGTGTGCGACCGTTTAAGCTCTCCATGTAAACAATCACTGAGAAATGTTGGGCTTACCACTCCATGCTTGACAATAAATGAATTTTTAAAGGAACTGGTTATATGCGGTAACAGTCCTGCATGCAAATGAAGAAGAAAAACCAGGATCAAACCCAGTGTCAGAATAAAATTTCTTACATTCCCAATTAGGCTATACCAGCAAATGGTACATACATCACTTATTTCCCTTTAGAATCTGATCAACAGAAAAATAAGAAGTAAGACAAAGCTGTGACTAAAAGTTAACTCATATAGTAAACATTCTGGAGCTCCCAGGGTGAGTGGGTAAAAATGTTTTTATTTTTTTTTAACCACTTTAATATTATTTTTAAAAGAAAATCATATTGGCAACAGCCAAGAAGACATTGAAATTATTTGAATTTACAGCTTTAAAATGTTATCAGAGTAATTCAATTTTACATGTCTTTGGCTTGTAAATCTAAAATAGGGCCTGTGTTTCAGTATTAATTTTCTTAAATTTTAATTTAGCTACAAAATACTTCTTTATGTCCCCTCCCCCCCCATGAGAAAGAAAAATTAACCTTTTTTAAGTGTTCCTCTTTTTTCAAGATTTTAATTTTTTAGAGCAATTTTAACTTCACAACAAAACTGAGAGACAGATACAGAGTTCCAGTACACTCCCTGCCCCAACACAGGCATAGCTTTCCCATTATTGGCATTCCCCCACCAGAGCAGTAACCATTGTTGCGACTGGTACACCTACAATGGATTAATAACCTCATAATCTCCTAAAGTCCACGGTTTGCATTACAGTTCACTGTTGGTGTTGTACATCCTGTTATTGTTCAGTCACTAAGTTGTGTCTGACTCTTTTGTGACCCCACGCGACCCCACCAGGCTCCTCTGTCCATGGAATCCTCCAGCTGAATACTGGAGTGGGTTGCCATTTCCTTCTCTGGGGGATCTTTCCAACCCAGGCGTGGAACCCGCGTCTCCTGCATTGGCAGGTGGATTCTTTAATCACTGAGCCACCAGGAAAGCCAGTACATTCTATGGGTTTGGACAAATATATAAAGGCATGTACCTATCATTATACTATTACAGTTTTTTCACTGTCCTAGAAGTCCTCTGTGCTCTATTTATCCATCCCTATGTAAACTTTAGAATCACTTTGTTGATTCTAAACCTATCCACAAAATAGCTTGTTGTGGTTGTGATTGGGATTGCACCGAATCTAATTTCAATTTCTACTTGTTCTTTGCTAGTATATAGGACAGCAATCAAGTTTTGTACATTAACCTTGTATCTTGCAATCTTCTTACCATCACGTATTAGTTCCAGGACTTTCTGTTCTTTTTGGTCAATTCTTTTAGATTGCCTCCATAGGAAATTGACTCATATGTGAACGAAGAGAGTTTCATTTTTTCCTCCTCAATCTCCATACCTTTTATTTCCTTTTCTTGTCTTAATGCATTAGCTAGTACTTTCAGTATTATGTTGAAAGGAGTGGTGAGAGGAGAATCCTTGCCTTATACCTGATCTTGGTGGGAAAGCTTTGAGCTTCTGTCATTAAATATGATGTTACCTATAGTTTTTTTGTAGATTTTCTTTATTAAGTTGAGAAGTTCCCATTTTCCCCTAGTTTACTAAGACTTTTTTTTTTTATCATGAATAGGTATTAAATTTTGTCAAAAGCTTTTTCTGAATGTATTGATATGATCATGTGATTTTTTATTTAGCCTGTTGATGTGATGGATACACTGATTTCTGAATGTTGAACTAGCCTTGTATGCCTGGCATAAATTCCTCTTAGATGTGGTGTATAATTCTTTTATTTGCTGATATTTAGCTGAGGATTTATGAATCTGTGTTTATGAAATGTATTTATCTGTAATATCTCTTATAATCTCTTTGTCTGGCTTTGGTATTAGGGTAATGCTGACCTCATAGAATGAATTAGGAAAACTTCCTTCACCTTTTAACCTCTGAAAAAAATTGTAGAGAATTGGTATAAGTTCTTCCTTAAATGTTTGATAAAATTTACCAGTGAACCCATCTGGGCCTATTGCTTTCTGCCTGGGAAGGTTATTGATTCAGTTTCTTTAATAGATATAAGCATATTCAGATTGTCTATTTTTTCTTATTGAGTTTTGACAGTTTGTGTCTTCAATGAATCGGTCCATTTCATCTTGGTTATCAAATTTGTCAGTATAGAATTTTTCATAGTATTCCTTTAGTATCCTTTTAATGTCTGTGAACTCTGTAGTGATTTTTCTTCTTTGATTTATTTCTGATAGTAATTTATGTCCTTTCTCTACTTTTTGCTTAATTAGCCTTTCTAGAGTCTTACTGATTTTTCTTGATATTTTTCAAAGAACCAGCTTTTTGTTTCCTTGATTTTCTCTCTTGATTTCCTATTTTCAATTTCATTGATTTCTCCTCTACTACTAATTTATTTTCTGTTGCTTACTGTGGGTTTAATGTGCTCTTTCTCTCCTAGTTTCCTGAGATGGAAAGTAAATTGATTTTAAATTTTTCTGATAAATCAATGAAATGCTATAAATTTCTGTCTAAGCACTGCTTTTACTGCATTACACAAATTTTACGTTGTAGTTTCATTTAGTTCAAGCTATTTTTTAAATTTCTCTTGAGATTTCTTCTTTGATCCATGTGTTATTTAGAAGTGTATTGTGTAATCTCCAGGTATTTGGGGATTTTCCAGTAATATTTGTTATTGATTTCTAATTTAATTCCACTGTGGTCTAAGAGCAGATATTCTATGAATGCTATTCTTTTAAATTTATTAAGGTGTATTTTATGAGCCAGAATGTGGCCTATATTGGTGAATGTTCCATGTGAGCTTGAGAAGAATGTATTTTCTGTCATTGGATGAAGTTATTTAATAGATGTTGATTATATCCAGTTGATATGTGGTTGAGTTCAACTATGTCCTTACTCAGTTTTTGCCTTCTAGATCTGTCTACTTCTGATAGAAAGATGTTGAAATTTCCAAACATGATAGTGAGTTCATCTATTTCTCCTTAAAGTTTTATCAGTTGTCACCTCATATAGTTTGATACTCTTGTTGTTTGGTATATGTGTGTTAAGGATTATTATGTCTTCTTGGAGAATTAACCCCCTTATCATTATTATTATTATTATTATTAATCATTCTTATTATATCATCATTATTATTAAATGCCCTTCTTTATCTCTGATAAATTTCCTTGCTCTGAAGTCTGTTCTGTGTGAAATATAGCTGTTCCTGCTTTATTTTTAATTGGTATTAACATAGTATATTTTTTCCATTTATTTACTGTTAATCTATTTATGTCTTTATATTTAAAGTGGGTTTCTTGTAGATAATATATAGGATCTTGTATTCAGATCCACTGACCTCCGTCTTTTAACTAGTGTATTTAAACCATTGATGTTCAGAATGACTGTTGGTACAGCTGGGTTAACATCTACCATATTTGTTACTGTTTTGTTTGTTGCCCTTATTTCTATTTATGTCTTCCACTTTTTCTGCCTTCTGTTGCTTTAATTTTATATGATTCTCTCTCTCTCCTTTCTTAGTATATTTATTCAGCTTTCTAAAAAGCTTCTTTAGTAGCTGCCCTGGAGTTTTCAACATATGTTTACAACTATACATTCACACTTGGAGAAGGACACGGCAACCCACTCCAGTATTCTTGCCTGGAGAATCCGCATGGATAGAGGAGCCTGGCGAGCTACCATCCACAGAGTCACAAAGAGTTGGACACAACTGAGCGACTTAGCACTAGCACGGACATTTACACTATAGCATGACGCAGGTATACCTTATGATAATAAAATATCCCTCCTTCCTGTTACTTGTATCATTTCTGTCATTCATCTCAGTTATATAAGCATACATACGCACACATATGCACATTAGACATACACATAAGCGTATATTATTGAATACATTGTTACATTATTTTTTAACAAATTAATAAGAAAACAAAGTTTCATTCACTTATTCCTTCTTCAGTGCTCTTCCTTTTTATGCAGATCCAGTTTCTGACCCATATTATTTCCTTCTCTGTAAAGAACTTTTAACATTTCTTGCAAGGCGGGCTTACTGGCAACAAATTCCCTCAGTTTTTGTTTGTCTGAGAAAGTATTTCTTTCTCCTTCACTTTTCAAGGATAATTTCACAGGGCACAGAATTCTAGGTTAGTGGGTTTTTCCCTCTCAGCGACATTAAACATAGCACTCTACTCTCTGCTAGCTTCCGTGGTTTCTCAGGAGAAGTGGAATGTAATTCTAATCTTGTTTCTCTGTAGGTAAGGTTTTCCCCTGTGGCTTCTTTCAGAATTTTTTTTCTCTATCTTTTACTTTCTGTAGTTTGAAAATTGTATATCTAGGTATAGGGCTTCTTTGCTTGTTTTGTTTGTTTTACATTTATCCTTCTTGATGTTCCCTGAACTTCCTGAATCTGTGGTTTGGTGTCTGACATTAATTTGTGGAAATTCTCAGTCATTACTGTTTTACATGTGTTTTGTATTTCTTTCTTCTTCTTCTGGTGTTCTCATGACGTCTTTTATACCTGTCTCACAGTGTGTTCTGTGTTTTTCGTCTTTGTTCTCCTTGTCTTTCAGTTTTGTAGGTTTATACTGAGGTAGCCTCAAGTTAGAGTCTTTTTCCTTAATCTGTGAGCAGTTTACTAATAAGTCCCACAAAGCCATTCTTCATTTATATGATACTGTTTTTGATCTTTAGCATTTCTTTTCAGTTCTTTCTTAAGATTTTCATCTATGTACATGTTTGTGTGCACACACACACGCACACACTAAGTCACTTCAGTCGTGTCCAACTCTTTGTGACCCTGTGGACTGTAGCCCACCAGGCCCCTCTGTCCATGGGATTCTCCAGGCAAGAACACTGGAGTGGGTTGCCATGCCCCCCTCCAGGTGATCTTCCTGACCCAGGAATCGAACCCACGTCTCCTATGTCTCCTCATTGGCAGGCGGGTTCTTTACCACCAGTGCCTCCGGGGAAGCACCTGTATGCACATATTGCTCATCTATTCTATTTTATCTGTCAAAACCTTTAGAATATTAACCATAGTTGTTTTAAATTCCTGAGC